TATTGGTAGGAAGACTTAGAGGAACACATCTAGTCCGGAGTCCATTGTATGCATCATCATTTCCAGAGTATGACTATGGACGTGGTACATTCCTAGATGTTTCGCTGGCATCGTCTGTGAGTCTCGCCATTATCAGCACCACACAACAACTCGTCAAAAGATCCTTTGACCAAACGTGTGCAAAACAATTTTGGTATCTCCCCTTTTGCCCTGGCCTATTCACATTTCTTATAACCTCCTATTAGGCCTTGACTGTCACAATTTTTACTTGCTTTATTAAATGTGGTACACTGTGCCCTTTTGAGTAGCTTTCATGTTCACGGTTCAACTTTGGAAATGATCATGCAGACAATGGACTCCAGACTAGGTGTGTTACTCTAAATCTTCCTACCAATATGACCATTTTGCGAAAACAAGGTCAAACAAATTCTATTTATTTTGACCTGAGAAAGAGTCAACCAATGTCGCTTAAGCTGAGGTAGAGTTGATAGCTGACCTTTCCCGCTAAATTTACTCAGCCTCGCCTCTGAAAAAGCCTTATCCTCGCGTCCGAACTATGGTGTCCACCTCGTCTGAATCTCATCAGACTTCAAACTGAATTCAAAGCCGACCGGTGCGCTTCAAGAGCCAGTCTGCTACAATCAACACAAGCACACACATACATCCATACACTGTCGGTAGCAATACAGACGTGAATTTTAAGACAGGGCAGGCCAGACCTTTGTCACAGCGCTTTTTAACAGTGGTACTGATATAGCTCGGGCAAACTTTACAATTTCTTTCAAATGATAATTGGATGCATTTGAACTAACTGAATTGATTTAATCTTAAATTTTAATATAATTTTACTTTTAAATAAGTTAAATTAATGATACTACTATATACCAAATGAGTAGGGTTCAAAGCATCAGTAGATATTAAATAATAAGAAGTGGGTTGACCTTGTTGTCGCAACTTGGTCTTGTTGTAAGGGAGACTTAGTAGAACGCACCTAGTCCGAAGTCGTCTGTCATATTAGTTGTCATGATTCCCCGCATCAGACAGTGGACTTGGAGCCTTCTCAAACGTTTCACTGGCATCATCAGTGAGTGCTGTCATTCTCCGCATCAAGCTACGAAATCATCAAAGAGACAAGTCTCTTTTGAGAAGGTTTGAGAAGGCTT